GGTAACTAATCTGATCTAACCCCAGTGGGATGAATGCATGTATTTTATTCCTTATGCATCTAAATTGCTATATTTTGTTTTTATATGCACAACTTAATTTTTATACTGTTAAATGATAGTATTTATTTTGTCTTATATTTGTCCACCGATGTGTTAGCTATTAATAAAGACCGATCATGCAATTGACAGGATTGTTATTAATGGGTTCTAGGCCATCAACTCTGTATCTCCAGATGAAGCAGTAAGACAAAAATTTGTGGGCAGGGCAGTATTTTTATAGGAGAGTTTTATTGCAAGGAAATAAATTAGAGCAGTGAGGTCCTGCCTATGGGGTATACTATTTACACTCCCATTTCATTTCTGTTCTGCTAATGTGCCACACAAGGATATTCTGAAAAGTGTGAAGAGAGACCTGGAGATAAAAGCGTGCTGTTGTTTTGTTTGTTGGCATTTTGTTTTATTTAGTATCACCTTTTTTCTTTGGGATACCTTTACATGTGATGGTGTATATATATATATATATATATATATATATATATTATAACATCACAAACAGCGCAAAATAATTTGTTAAAGTGCTAAATCAATATGTAAAAAATATTAAATTCAATATAAAATATAGTCCCACTCCAAAACGCCCTGTGGGAGGGGCGAAACGCGTTGACGCACTTCCGGTTCCTCCATCCTACGTCACTTCCAGTGAGTGGAACGCATGCCGGTGCATTGCGTTCCAGGTGGCCATCTTGTGTATGGGAGAACATTCACATTGTCATCTGCTACTGATTGTGGGATTTCTAAAAAACCACCCTGAAGTTTATGACATTTGTGGATTCAATAAATATGCTGGTTTTATATCTTATATAATGTGAGTGGCCTGGTGTTTAGATGTCTGATATAGCCGGGTGTTGCAGTATTACGCTATGTTATTTTATCTCTCCTACATTACTTTGAGTTTCTCTGGAAAGTGGGAACCTGGTGGTTTTGGAAATTGGAGGAAAGCTTTCTTGTGGTGGTGGAGTGGAGTTCTGGAGGCATATCATAAGGGTCTAGGCGTTTATTTCACCAGAATCTGGTGAGTGCGGTATATATATTGGTTTGAGCACTAATTTCTGGTGGAAGCACACTTTGGAATAAGGACTTTCTGAATAGTTAAGGATTTTTTTCATTTTTTATTTTTTCACTTGTCATATTTTTCTTCACATATGTTGGAGTGGGACTATATTTTATATTGAATTTAATATTTTTTACATATTAATTTAGCACTTGAACAAATTATTTTGCGCTGTTTGTGATGTTATAATTTTTGGTGTAAGTTACATTTATGTGCAGCAGTATTTTCATTTTTGTTTTTATAATTCTATGTATTTTTATATTTTTTGGCGCTGGTGATTTATGGTCAGATATATATATATATATATATATATATATATATATATATATACACACACAAACATGGTTGTGATCTATGTCCTTTGATTTGCTTTGCACATCTGTTTCATGTATAGTTTTATGAATGGCCATAATAGTACTTTGCATTAATAAGAAGAATTTAAAAGTATTTTATGGTATTAATAAACTCAAAAGCAAGGATATATTACATTGCAGCTTCCTAAGTCTTTAGATGTGTTGGCTGCATTAGATTTCTTTTTAGGCGTTCTTTCTTTTATTTTCATCTGGTCATCTAGCCAGTAAGTGTGTTATTTTTCAAGAGAAAAGCTCTCTTGCAGTTATAGGGATGAAACAGACCATTTAACACTGGCAGGGATGCTTAAAATGATCAGCTTTTATTTATTTATTTATACAAAACCTTTATCCCAAAAGGAAAAAATGTTGCTGTAACTGCATATAAAGTATTATCTGGAGTTCAGCTTCAATTTATTAGTGTATCTCAATCTGCTAGTGCACCCAACACTCCCCCACACCCCAGACTGACAGTGCGGCTGTCCAAAGGTGCCCACTGTGCTCCTTCATCCAGAGTAGAGGCACTCTACTGTGTTACTGGTAAGATCATCGGGTGAAAACAGAGGGGAAAAAGCCTAAAAAGCCACCACATCTAATGATTGATAAGCCACTATATTTGACATTTTTGGTTTTGGATTTAGGCAAATTTAAAAATAGCAGCAGTCATATTTTTAGCAGATATGCCATACCAGAGGTTTAAGAGACATTGACATCTGCAAAACACAATCTTAAATGGAAGCAAAAGCAAATTTGCTAAATCTTTTAAACAAAGAATGACTGTGTGTTAGGAATTTTACATAGAGTAACTCACATATGTGTGCGTGTTATACTAGAAAGCCATACTGATATAAACTTTATGACGTTTTCTCCAGTCTTTCATCATATGTAATATACTAAAATCCACCCTGTTAGGGAAAGAGGTTAATGGGTAAATGGGAAAGTGACATCAATCACATTACATACAAATAAGCTGCCATGGAGAACATCTTAAGTGGAAACACACCCCATCACTAGGCCAGCTCACAACTCCTCGAAGATTCTGTTTTGGCATGTGGAATATATGGCTTTGTGCATATGCCCAGCTATACATCCCCTTATGTTGCCTAATAGGAATATTGATTTGCACAAAATTTTCTTTTTAATTCTTTGCTTTTTTATTTTCAAGTAAATGTACAAAGTATAGAGGAGTACAGAGAACTAGAACATTCTTGGGACATTTATCAAGCTATACATACACAAAGTTGTGCAGCCAAAATTATTCAACCCCCACTGAAATTGAGTGTTTTGGCCAGTTTGACATTGCTTTTGATCATTCAGTCATCTTGCTTACATTTACATTAAAAGAGGCACTTGTAGGTCAGACAAATATAACATAACAGTTATAATGAAATAACCACAAATGTCTTTTCTGTGCTCACAGCATTATCAGTTTTATTCAACCCCCAAGTGACATTCAATCTTAGTACTTAGTACAGCATCCTTTTACAGTTATAACAGCTTTTAAACGTGAAGCATAGCTTGACACAAGTGTCTTGCAGCGATCTACGGGTATCTTCGCCCATTCTTCATGGGCAAAGGCCTCCAGTTCAGTCACATTCTTAGGCTTGCGCACTGCAACTGCTTTCTTTAAGTCCCACCAGAGGTTCTCAATCGGATTTAAGTCTGGTGACTGCGATGGCCACTCCAAAATGTTCCAGCCTTTCCTCTGCAACCATGCTCTAGTGGACTTGGAGGTATGCTTGGGATCATTGTCCTGTTGAAAGGTCCAACGTCTCCCAAGCCTCAGGTGTGTGTGACGGACTGCATCACGTTTCCATCCAATATCTCCTGGTACTGAAGAGAATTCATGGTACCTTGCACACGCTGAAGCTTCCCTGTACCTGCAGAAGCAAACAGCCCCAAAGCATGATTGACCCTCCACCATGCTTCACAGTAGGCAAGGTGTTCTTTTCATCATAGGCCTTGTTCTTCCTCCTCCAAACATAGCGTTGATCCATGGGCCCAAACAGTTCTAATTTTGTTTCATCAGTCCACAGAACACTATCCCACAACTTTTGTGGTTTGTCCACATGGCTTTTGGCATACTGCAGTCGACTCTTCTTATTCTTTGGAGACAGCAAGGGGGTACGCCTGGGAGTTCTGGCACGGAGGCCTTCATTACGCAGTGTGCGTCTTATTGTCTGGGCTGAAACTTCTGTACCCACATCTGACAAATCTTTTCTCAGTTCCTCAGCAGTCACACGGGGACTTCTCTCCACTCTACGCTTCAGGTAGCGCACAGCAGTCGAAGTCAGCATCTTCTTTTCTGCCACGACCAGGTAGCGTTTCAACAGTGCCCTTTGCCTTGAATTTGCGAATGATGCTTCCTAAGGTGTCTCTTGGTATGTTTAACATCTTTGCAATCTTCTTATAGCCATTGCCCTTCCTGTGAAGAGAAATCACCTCTTCTCTTGTCTTCCTGGACCATTCTCTTGCCTTCACCATGTTTGTAACCACACCAGTAAATGTCTAGAAGGAGCTGAGTATCACAGTCATTTTAAAGCTGCCTAATTGGTGCTTATTATGCTTGATTGCTGCTCGGTGACATCCACAGGTGTTTTCAATACCTGATGGAAAGCACCTGTATGAACCTCTGTTCTTCAGAGTGGTAGTCTTTAAGGGGTTGAATAATTGTGGCAATGAAGAAACCACATAAGAACCATTTACTACTGTATTACATAAACAATTGATGTCATTTTAGTTGCATTTGGGTAGTTACAACGTCCTTGTAGGATTTGATTCTGAATACAATTCCAAATGTACACTATAGTCCCTAAACCCCTTTACAGCATTGGGGGTTGAATAATTTTGGCCACAACTGTATGTGAAAGTGTTGTACACAAGAGTCAAGTGTCCAATGCAGACATTTCAAGTATTAAAGTCCTTTTGTGATGCAAAACAAACAACTTTTCTTAAAAGCAACTAACATCCCAGGAATAAACCAGGCTGCTATATCCCCAAAGAAGCTAGGTCAGGGGTTTACATCAGAGAGTCTGCCTGGTATTGTCTTCTCATTTAAGCAGGTTATCTGGAGGTGTAATGATGAATGGGACATTGGGACCTAATTACCAGGCTGGTAAACGAGGTGAGAGTAAGGGTGGTCAGGAGGTTGAAATAGGAATAAGAAAAGTAAGAAAAGGTAAGATTAAAAGAAGAGTGGAGAGGTAAAGGTAGGGAAAAACAAGTGGGGTGGGTGGGAAAGGAACGAGGGAGGAAAAGCACAGATAGGTGAGGCACAGCATGCTTGGATGAAGATGTATACCAGTTCTCTGGTAAAGAGCGAAATTTGGATGTTAATGAAAAACCAAGTTTTACAAAATTGTTCATCTGCTTGATTATATGCCACCATTAGATCCTCTTTTTTTCATTTATTTTATTTAACCAGAGACTAATTGGTAAATGATTTGTCAATTTCCAGTAGAGTGGAATGCATGGTTTTGCTGCATTTAGTAGGTTTTTTTAAATTGCATTTTAGTGGCAGTGGTGTAAGGTAAAGTAGGAAGGCAACTGGGTTGTTCCTTAGTTGAATGTTGGTTAAACTGTTTCTAAACCCAGAAAACTGCATTCACTATATCTAGTCTCCGACAGTACACGGAACATGGAAATGCAATTACCGTATTTTTCGCTCCATAAGACGCACTTTTTCCCCCCAAAAAAGGGAGGAAAATGTTAGTGCGTCTTATGGAGCGAATATAAAGCGGCCGGTCCAGTATTTCTGCCGCCACCATGTCAGAATATTGGGCTGGCCGCTCAGCTCTTCTCTCCTGCAGGACCTTACCTGTTCCTCGCTCCAGCGCTGTACAGTCTTCCAGCGGCGGCTTCCGTGACAGCCGGGTGCCCACTGCGCATGCGCGAGAAGCGCTGCACTTTGTGAATGGTCCAGCATCTTCTGGGACACGACAGAAGGCTCCGGGCCATTCACAAAGCACAGCGCTTCTCGCGCATGAGCAGTGGGCACCCGGCTGTCACAGAAGCCAGCGTGGGGAGAAGGAAGGACAACTCTGCGGAAGTGGGAGCGGGTACCTGTCAAGTTCAGGTACCCGCTCTCCCTCCCCAAAGGTCCGCAGTCTCTGGTCATCTCCTGTACTGTCTGCAGTCTCTGGTCATCCTCTGCACAGTCTGCAGTCTCTGGCCATCTGTACTATGTCCACAGTCTCTGGTCATTCCCTGTACTATGTCCGCAGTCTCTGGTCATCTCCGGTACTGTGTCCGCAGTCTCTGGTCATCTCCTGTACTATGTCTGCAGTCTCTGGTCATTCCCTGTACTGTGTCCGCAGTCTCTGGTCATCTCCTGTACTATATCTGCAGTCTCTGGTCATCTCCTGTACTATGTCCGCAGTCTCTGGTCATTCCCTGTACTATGTCCGCAGTCTCTGGTCATCTCCTGTACTATTTCCGCAGTCTCTGGTCATCTACTCTACTATGTCTGCAGTCTCTGGTCATCTCCTGTACTATGTCCGCAGTCTCTGGTCATCTCCTGTACTACGTCTGCAGTCTCTGGTCATCTCCTGTACTATGTCCGCAGTCTCTGGTCATCTCCTGTGCTGTGTCCGCAGTCTCTGGTCATCCCCTGTACTGTGTCCGCAGTCTCTGGTCATTCCCTGTCTTGTGTCCACAGTCTCTGGTCATCTCTTGTACTATGTCTGCAGTCCATTGGTTCAGAATATTTTTTTTTCTTCTTTTTCTCCTCTAAAACCTAGGTGCGTCTTATGGTCAGGTGCGTCTTATGGAGCGAAAAATACCGTATTTTAGTAAATATAAACTGCTAAATACCTTTTCTCATCAGCAGTTAGAAAAGTCTTGTGACTTCTATCAGTGTCCAGCAAAGCACTGGTTACATCTTGTAGGATGAGTTTTCATTCTTCTGTAGGAGGATGCAGGACCCTTGACCTCTGTTTGGAGAGTGATTATTTGCCCTGTGCTGATCACATGCACTCTCCCAAGAAAAAAAAAAAAACCTCTCCAGCAATACATACCAAACTAAGCATGTGCAGCCTGCCCCAGAGCATCTGTTCTATCAGGAGATATTTAGCAGCCACTGGAAGGGGAAGGGAGGATCAGAGAAGAGAGGATCAAACAGCCTTTTTACACAATGCAGAGGATTAACCCCTTAGTCCACAGTTCCACAGTGAGTATAACAAGCATGCTTTACTGCATATACAGACTGATTTTACTGCTGTGCGTTTAGTGACACTTTAACACAAAAGAAATTCCCCCAACTGTGTTCCAAAGGGAGCCGGTACTAGTGGCACTATACAATGCTGTGATATGTGCATTATACTGGATATATGGTAAGTAGATACACAGTTTTTTCAGAAATAAACTAAACAGTTTTACACTATTGGAGGCTGTCATCTGTTTCTTTTGCTGGGCTGTCATTATTGGAGCAAAAGAGATATACAGTTGAGTCTCCTGCTGGAGTGCCTCATGGTTCCCTACAGTGGATGATCCATTATTGGTGGAAGGTCCATGCACCTGTGAGCTTTTATTTACCACTTATAATTTGAGGTCTTTTATTCTTGTAAGAGACTGTGTGTTACATGGTGAAGGGATTCATTGGTGGCATTCCAAACAAGATATCTCACAGATGGATTTAATAAGATTTAATAGGGAATTGATTTATGTGTTGCATGTGGTGACTGCAACCTTTAATTACGGTTTTGTGCAGTAGAGATCACTTTAATATTTATGGTTATTGAAAGACACACTGCAACAGTATTGGTACATATGAATTTTAACACATATTTTTTGTGTTTCTGAGTCCGGCTGTTATACATTTATATGATTTTTTCTTTTATATACAGTATTTATGTATCCCAAAAGCCCTGTAAAGATAGACAGCTCCAGAACATGTGTATTATGGTCCACTCATGGTGCTGACATCTTCAGCAAAGGGGTCAGCACTGCGGGAACATTTTATGTAGCGTTTTTAGGACCCTGTACCAGAAAGATAGGATCGTAAAACCAGTTTCTTGTAGTTAGCTAGAAATGGAGGCTTAGAAATTACTTTTTTTGCCCATATACCATAAAAGCAAACGCTGAGGTTCAAACATGCCTTGTGTTACACTGGCATACAACAGAACAGGTAAGAACAATAATAAAAACCTCTGGACTTGACAATGGCAATGCTTTACTGTACCTAAATCCACCATTAATCGACTACAATATGTACAAAATTCTGCAGCCAGAATCCTGACTGGTACAAGTGATCATACTACCCCTATCCTGGGGTCCTTGCACTGGCTACCTGTCATAGAGGTTAAGATCCTCTTGCTCACCTATAAGGCTCCTCATAGCTTGGCACCCTTACTCCCAACTCAACTCCTCAAGTTACTCCCCCCCTTCTCCTGCTGTGCCCCCAAAACTATGGAATTCACTTCCAAAGAACATTATCATCTCTAAATTCATTCAAATCAATTCTAAAAACATTTTTCTTCAGACAAGCTTTCGCACAATTGTCCCTTTTTCTTTTGTTTTGCTTCTGTGTATTTCTTGTGTTTTTGATTCTCTTGTCTTTGTAAAGTGCTTTGAGAAGCTACCTTTAAAGACGCTATATAAAATTATGTTTTTATTATTACTATTATTATAGTATTAATAAAGGACACGGATCACTGTACGGGACCACTGTGTGAGGTCCCGATCATGTGATCACTGATTGACCAATCAGTGATCACATGAATAGTAGTAAGCAAGATGTCACATCTGACATCATTGCTTACTACGTGTGAAATCTGTGAATGATCACAGAGGTCACATGGCTCAAGGCTATTCACAACAGCCTTGTACCATGTGACAAGCTGTGACCAATCACAGCTCTCGCAGTATTTCTCAATGGCTGCAAGAATGCAGCCAGAGAGAAGGAGAAATGATTGCTTTCACAGCCTTTATGGGTGTGAAAGCAATCATTGTAAAAAAAAAATCTTTATTACCCCCCACATTAGTACAGTGTCACTATGGTGACACTGTACTGCTAGGGTGACAGTAAGTTAAAAAAAAAAACCCATAAATAATAATATAAAAAAATAAAATAAAAATGTCAAATTTTTTTTTAAAATTATAATTTTTGGTTATAAACTAATTTGGAATATTTTTTTTTACTAAAAAGATAGATGAATACATTTTGCCAAGATTTATGAAGAGAGATTATTTATTTGCAAAAATTTATAAGAAAAACACTTTTTTTTCAAAATGTTTGGACTTTTTCATTTATATAGAAAAAAAAATAAAAATCCCAGTGGTGAATAAATACCACCAAAATAAAGTTTTATCTGTCTCAAAAAAAAATGCTAAAAAATTCATATGGGTACGGTGTTGCATGACCGCACAATTGTCATTCAAAGTGTGATAGCGCTGAAAGCTGAAAATTGGCCTGGACAGGAAGGAGGTGAAAGTGTCTGGACTTGAAGTGTTTAAGATTTTGGGGTTACTTTACCTATGCATATATGTTGCACAGCGAATTTAGAGACATATCACTTCATTATATATTGCACAGTTCATTTAGAGATATACAGTATATTTTATTATACAGTATATACTGCACAGTCAATTTATCATTGCATATACCAGTACGTTGCACAGTGACCTTAACAGAGATATAATGTATTTTAAAGCACAATGGGCAGATTTTAGCTAAAAATGAAAATACTAGAAAATGTATTGAAACCTATGATTATTTACACTATTTTCATGTCAGGTATTCTCCTTTAGTTGCTTCACTAGGGCTGTTATTTCCAGCAATGGGGTTCCCTCCAGGTTGCAATGTAGATACAGAATCATTAGCTGCTGGAGAGTAGATATGAGGTGGTCCAGGAATCTGCAGTCTCCATTTTATGGTTTTCTACAGGATGAGCTCTGTTGTGCTAAAAATAAGCCAAGTAACTCTGATAGTAACATGATCAATAAGTGTCAGCTTGCTGCTGGATGTAATGTAACCCCCCCCCCCCCATTGAAAAATTTGTACTACATTCTACATAATTACACAGTTTGTCAGGGTAAAAACGACATGACAATCAAGTTCAACTAAAAAACAAAAATAAAGAAATAAAATTACAAAAATGTGCATCCTTGGCATGCTAAACTTGCCGTTGATCCAGGGGAAGGCAGAAACCAGTTTGCCTAAATAATACATACATCATTAAAATAATAATCAAATGCAGACAGGTCAGCAGAAGCTGAAAGGAATCCTATTATTCTCTTAGCAATCTGCAGGTCCATGGTCTATGAAGAGATACAGCCAGTACTGCAGGCTGTCATAGTTACAAGAACGCTGCTTAGATGGGGTGTGACATATTCAACTTTGTAATATTAAATAATCTTCTATGTGTTTCCAAGATTTCCTTTGGAAAGCTGATATGAGGATTTGAGAATATTTTCCTACAAATGTTAAGTGTACAGTGAAAATAAAAAATGAGGATTCTAAATATAAATGAGGAAAATCTGTTGCATTTCAGATTTCTTGTGTTCAAAGTATCTTTCTTTTCCAAAAGCCCAAAGCCACAGAAACAACATGTTTTAAGCTCAGTTTACTGAACAGAACCACAACGGCAGTAAAAAAAAAAAAAAAGAAGAAGAAGGGAGACATGAAAAGCATCGGTGTTCTCTGATCATTGGGAGAATGGCTAAATGTCAGGTCTCCTGTCACAGCACATAAAAGAAGTCCTAGCATAGGCATAAGAGAAAGTATATTGATTGTTGAAGATTTGGAGGTATTTTTTTGTTCATTTTTTTTGACTGCTTAGTGTTGTTTTCTATTATTTTTAAATTATATAAAATATTTTATTTTATAAATAAACAGTAAATACAGGCTACATCAAAGACACTCAGTTCGCAAGTCACACTGTTCTTACTAATGTACATAACCTGGTAAAGCCGGTAAGCCAGATAGGTCTGTCTGAATGAAGGGATAAGAAAGAGAGTCGTCTCTTTACTTCAAGACAGATTCAGCTATGTGTGTGAACTGATCTCCCCACTATTCAGGTCTATTTCAGCACATCAGATGCTGCTGTAGCTTTGAACTCTTATCATTCTTCTGTGGCCCCCTTCTGGAAATGATTCACATTAATCTTGTCCCAGCAGACCATATTTGTATATATACAACTCACCGGCCACTTTATTAGGTACACCTGTTCAAACTGAATCAGCCAATCACTTGACACCAACTCAATTAATTTAGACATCTAGACATGGTGAAGACGACTTCCTGAAGTACAAACTGAGCATCAGAATGGAAAAGAAAGGGGATTTAAGTGACTTTGAACATGGCATGGTTGTTGGTGCCAGTTCGGCTGGTCTGAGTATTTCAAAAACTGTTGCTCTACTGGAATTTTCATGCACAACCATCTCTAGGGTTTACAGTGAATGGTATGAAAAAGAGAAAATATCCTGTGAGCGGCAGTTGTGTGGATGAAAATGCCTTGTTGATGTCAGAGGTCACAGGCGAATGGGCAGACTGGTTGCTGCGACATTCAGATGGTAGGGTCAGAATTTGGTGTAAACAGCTTGAAAGCATGGATCCATCCTGTCTTGTATCAACAGTTCAGACTGGAGGTGGTGGTGTAATGGTGACACATTGTATATTATGATATATGGTGTCTATG